ACCACCTGCTGACGTAGGCTACTGCTAGATACGGCAAAAACCTTGTATGGTAATAGTGTGGCTTTTGCCGAAGAACAATTTGTCTACCTTTAATATTTTCCACTATATATACACATGATACACAGCCTGACCTGGTGCACACTAAATGTTCAAATAGGAAAGGTTATGAAAAAGTAAGTTATGCAAGGGATTGTGGGTAATAAAAATTAAACCCAAACAACTTTTGAAAATACACTTCACTTGCATATTTTATATATTTGAGATTCCTTTTCACGCTCGAAAATATTTAATTTTAAATTGCAAATATAATAATATAATATACAATTTTATAAACCTTCTAATGATCTTTCACTAAAATATGTTTTTGAATAAATAAGAACCCAATACCTATATATATATATATATATATATATATATATATGTATATATGAAGAGTTCAGATGCAAAAAGCCTCTAAGTGCCGTCTGAAATTTTCTTCTAAAATAAGCGTTTTTATCAGGCTCCTATTTATGTTCAGTTATTTCACTTCACTAAACATTGCCATTAGAGTAAAATTACTGAACCTAAACATAGGAGCCTGATAAAAATGCTCAGTATAGATGAAAATTTCAGATGGCACTTAGAGGCTTTTGCATCTGAACTCTTCATATATATATATATACACAATACCTATATAAAAGGTCTTCATACCCCTTCATTTTTTTCACATTTTGTTATGTTGCAGCCTTATGTTAAACTACTTTAAATAACTTTTTTTCCACATCAATCTACAATCCATACACCATAATGACAAAGCAAAAAACTGCTTTGTGACAACTTTGCAAATTTATTTGAAATAAAAAACTGAAATGATTCCATTGAATAAGTATTCAAACCCTTTTCTGGGACAGTTGAAATTTCAGCCAGGAGCATTCATATTGCTTGTAGATGTTACTAAACTTCGAGTGGTGTTAAAGGTGCACTAGGTGATTGTCTTCAGAAACATTTTTGTTATGCTGGTTGAAAGTCCCTTCACATCCCGATAGCAATCATTAAGTTAAGTGGTCTAAATGTATTTATCTGTATTTATATATTCTGTGGAAGGCGTAGGACCAAGAAATGTTCGTCCAATCAAAACGCTTACTCCGAGCGTTTTAATTGGCTTTCCTACCTGCCTGTCAACATATGTATTTGCATTCCTCTGTGCACCCTGTTCGCGCAGACAGGACACGTCATCAGCGCGTTCACGCACGCTGTGCAGACAGAGCGAGAATGGCAGACAAACATCAACAACCCGATCTTCCTTCCTGGCACTGTAGTTGTACTTGTACTTTTAAAGTTTTCTCACCGGTGAATGACACATGATCAGCCCAGCGGTTCCCAATTCCAGTCCTCACGCACATATTTTGCATGTCTCGCTTAGTTAACACACCCGATTCAGATAACCAACTCGTTAGAAGTGAGGTATGTGCATGAACTGTGTTCCGATCGATATGATCCCTACACCGTGTTCATTGCTCCCTTCTCCCTGAGCAGGGGTTTACTTCACTTCGGAACATGGGCTGGAATTGAAAACGGCTGATGTAGCCTATTGTAGTAATGTTGTCACTGGTGTTCTGGTCTGTGAGTGAGCGTATATGCGTTCAGGGCACGTGGCTTTGGACGGCGATTGCAGGGAGGGTGGGACGTTCGCTTTCAGTACTATCAGGCTAAAGTTAGCATTTTCCAAGATCTCCTACTGCACCTTTAACCAGTGTTGCCAATTTAGCTACTTTTTAGCTAGATTTAGTGACTTCCCCGTCCCTTTTGAGACTTTTTTCAAAAGTTTAGGGACAAATATAACAATTTCTTGGACAAACCTTATCTAAGTTCTCATCTTGCCCACTGATCTACATTCATCTTTATATAGATCAGTGAATTTGCCATTGTGATGTCATCTAGTGACATTTAGCTACCAGTTTTAGCTACTTTCAGTTGAAAGCAGTTGGCAACACTGCCTTTAACCTGTGGCAAATTCATTTGAATGGGTATGATTTGGAAAGGCACACACCACTCAAGAAAAGGTCTAACAGCTGAAAATGCATATCAGAGCAAAAACCAAGCCCTGAGGTCAAATGAAATGCCTGTAGAGCTCAAAGACAGGATTGTGTCAAGCCACACATCTGGGGAAGAGTTCAGAAAAAAAATCTGCTGCATTGAAGGTTCACAGAAGCATGTAGCCTCTATGATCCATAATGGAAGACGTTTGGAAACACTAGGACTCTTCCTAGAGCTGGCCTCCTGGCCAAACTGAGCAATCGATGGAGAATAGCCTTGGTTAGACTGGTGACCAAGAAGCTGATGGTCACTCTAGTTGAGCTCAACAACCCGATCTTCCTTCCTGGCACTGTAGTTGTACTTGTACTTTTAAAGTTTTCTCACCGGTGAATGACACATGATCAGCCCAGCGGTTCCCAATTCCAGTCCTCACGCACATATTTTGCATGTCTCGCTTAGTTAACACACCCGATTCAGATAACCAACTCGTTAGAAGTGAGGTATGTGCATGAACTGTGTTCCGATCGATATGATCCCTACACCGTGTTCATTGCTCCCTTCTCCCTGAGCAGGGGTTTACTTCACTTCGGAACATGGGCTGGAATTGAAAACGGCTGATGTAGCCTATTGTAGTAATGTTGTCACTGGTGTTCTGGTCTGTGAGTGAGCGTATATGCGTTCAGGGCACGTGGCTTTGGACGGCGATTGCAGGGAGGGTGGGACGTTCGCTTTCAGTACTATCAGGCTAAAGTTAGCATTTTCCAAGATCTCCTACTGCACCTTTAACCAGTGTTGCCAATTTAGCTACTTTTTAGCTAGATTTAGTGACTTCCCCGTCCCTTTTGAGACTTTTTTCAAAAGTTTAGGGACAAATATAACAATTTCTTGGACAAACCTTATCTAAGTTCTCATCTTGCCCACTGATCTACATTCATCTTTATATAGATCAGTGAATTTGCCATTGTGATGTCATCTAGTGACATTTAGCTACCAGTTTTAGCTACTTTCAGTTGAAAGCAGTTGGCAACACTGCCTTTAACCTGTGGCAAATTCATTTGAATGGGTATGATTTGGAAAGGCACACACCACTCAAGAAAAGGTCTAACAGCTGAAAATGCATATCAGAGCAAAAACCAAGCCCTGAGGTCAAATGAAATGCCTGTAGAGCTCAAAGACAGGATTGTGTCAAGCCACACATCTGGGGAAGAGTTCAGAAAAAAAATCTGCTGCATTGAAGGTTCACAGAAGCATGTAGCCTCTATGATCCATAATGGAAGACGTTTGGAAACACTAGGACTCTTCCTAGAGCTGGCCTCCTGGCCAAACTGAGCAATCGATGGAGAATAGCCTTGGTTAGACTGGTGACCAAGAAGCTGATGGTCACTCTAGTTGAGCTCTATGATCATATATGCAGATGGGAGAAACTTACAGAAGGACAAACATCACTGCAACACTCGATCTGGTCTTTATGGCGGTGTGGTCAAACTCAATCCTCTCCTCAGTGAAGACATATGAAAACACACTTGGAATTTGCAACAAAGCACCTAAAGAACCCTCAAATTGTGAGAAGCAAGATTCTCTGGTCTGATGAATCTCAATTCTAAGCATCATGTTTGAAGGAAACCAGGCACTGCTCATCACCTGCAGAGTACCATCCCAAAAGTAAAGTGGTGGTCGCAGCCTCATGCTGAGGGGCTGTATTTCAGCGGCAGGGACTGAGGGACTCGTCAGAGAAGAAGGAAAGCTCAACACAGAAAAATATAGAGATAGCCTTAATGAAAGCCCAGTCCAGAGCATTCACAACCTCAGACTGGGCAGAAGGTTTACCTTCCAACAGGACAATGACCCTAAGCACACAGCAAGAATGGCTTACAGACAACCCTGTGAATGTCCTTGAGTGGCCCAGCCACAGCCTGAGCTTGAATCCAAACAAATATTTCTGGAGAAACCTGAAAATGTGCACCTGCCCCCATCCATCCTGACAGAGCTTGAGAGGTGAAGAGGTGAGGAGAAGAATGGCAGATAATTGCCAAATGCAGATGTGCAAAGCTTGTCGCATCACACCAAAAAGACTTGAGGCTGTAAAGGTGCTTCAACTAAGTACTGCAGTAAGGGTATGAATACTTATGCAATGTACTTATTTCAGTTTTTGAATTTTAATAAATTTGCAAAGTTGTCACTGTTTTTTGCTTTGTCATTATGGTGCATGGAGTGTAGGTTGATGTGGAAAAATAAGTTATTTAAAGCAGTTTAACATAAGGCTGCAACATTAAAAAAAAACGTGAAAAAAATGATGGGGTATGAATGCTTTTTATAGGTATATATATATATATATATATATATATATATAATATCTGAGATTTGAGATTCCTTTTCACGCTCGAAAATATTTCATTTTAAATGCAAATATAATAATATAATATAAAATTTTAGAAACCTGCTAACAATCTTTTACTAAAATATATTTTTCCGTGAATAAAGAACCCAATACCTATATATACACACACACACACACACACACACACACACACACACACACACACACACACAACGTTATAGTAGTTTTCATAGCACAAAATAAGAGATAGCTATAAAGGTTTAAAATTGTATTTATTTATTTACTGCCGCTCTAATTGTGTTTGTTTGTTTGTTTGTTTGTGGCGTCTACACAAAACACACTGCCAACAGTATTCAGACTTAATTTAGTTTTTAAAAATGCCTAAACTGTTGACTTTACGACTTACAGATGTTTCCATACAGCTAAACTTAGTTTAGACAGAGTAGTTCTGTTTTAGTTTGCAGAAAACAAAAACAAAGCATGTTTTATTTATTTATTTATTTATTTGTAAACTCAATGCTTGATTGTAACGGCTGTAATGTTTCCCATTATCTGGTCGAGTGGTGTCTGGGAACTTTCTAATCCGGGTATTTAATGTCTAGTCATTCTTTGCGTTCATTGGATGACAGTCAGAATTCTGTGATTTCATTGGCTGTCAATTCTTAGTGCGGCCAGCAAGGTTGCTGGTCGTGGCAGCATGACAGACCGGCACGTAGGTAGTCGTTGCTTTTTGTATTGGAATTAGGAAGCGCATTTGTAATTCATTTTTCAGACGGATCTTTGTGAGTTTTTGTGTAAGCTACCTGGCATTGAGCTTGTACCCTGTTTTGCCTCAGTCATTTTTTATAGCAACGAAAACTTTTACCCGTGCCTCACTCACCTCTTGTTACTCACACGTACCGTCTCAGGTAAGACAGTAAACACTTCTTCGACTGTTTATAATGTGTTAGTTTAAGGTATATACGACTGGGTGGCCACTATATCCTATCAAATCCTAATTATGTACGTTGTTTTAGTTCTTTTATTTTAGCTGCTCATTTACACACACACACACACACACACACACACACACACACACACACACACACATGAACAAATGAAACAGGTGGAGCAGGTGCACCAAGTTTTACTTGCAAGTTATTCGGAGCGCACTATTAGGTGGCACAGTCTCGTATACATCTATTTCGACTAGTAATCAGTTTAAAATATATATCCTAAGCTATTTAAATAACAGAGATGCGCATATTGCGATGAGTCAGTGTTTTGGTTATCAGAACATTAGTGGTAAATGGAAATTACACAGTAGATGTACAAAAGTAATGGTTTTGTTCAGTTGGGGGCGCTAGTTCATTCAGAACTTTATGAAAAGCCCCTGAAGTTTTCAAAAAGTTTAACTGAGAGCAGCAATACCTAATACTATTACGCATAAAATACACCTGCTAAGTAGGTTACTTGAAGCCCATTTTCAAGGCTGTAATCTGAACTCTTTAAAATGCTACCTCTGAGATGTTTTATAACTCTATTCCAACTGGGCTTTGAATTCTCATTTGAGGAAGATGCCACACACTTTATTCCCTTTACACACGTTCAGTTGTTATTCCCATTCAAAGCGTTTAGTAATGTTGACACTTCTCTGACACAATAATGGGGTCGTTATTGTGTCAGAGAAGCTTCTTGTTTGTTTAAAACGGTATGCCAAATGAATACGTATTGTAATTGTGGCGTTTCATAGATTTGTTATTCATAAGACACGTATAATGGTACCATATTCATTATATTTATCCAGTATTTGTCCATACAAGGCTGTGTGAACATTAGACACTGTTTTTAATATATGCTAAGCTAATACACTGAGACCGTCGACTAACTAGTGGGTGCCAATTTGGATGTATTTGTAAAATAGCTGAGAGTGTTTGCTGAAGTAAGATCCTTTAGACAATTATACAGTTGTTCACTCAAAGTGGGCTTTTTTTCTGTTGGTTATCATTAGCTTGTTGTGATGAACATTCAGTATAATTGTTCTGTGAGTGTCTATATGAAATGGAATAATGCAATTTCAATTACCTTCACCGTGTTTTCCTCATCCAGGAGATCAGCATGTCACCGTGGGTTAAACAGGTTTGCCTTGTTCTTGTGGCAGTGTTCATGTTGTCCAGTACAACAGAGTCAAAGAAAGATGAAGCATTGTACTGTTCAGGTAAGTTGATGTTGCATGGAGTTTCTAAATAAATAATCAAAACACACACACACACACAAATGAATTATAATGCTAAAGTAAGTGATGATTGAGCTGGTAATTACAACAAATGTTTCTAGTTTAATTTTTCTATTAGGAGTGTAATTTTTTTAATTTAAAATTTTGTAACTCTTAATTTTTCACTTTCTTTTAAACTGTCACCGCCATGTTTTTAAACATTTTGTGACATCAGTACAGATAAAGTGGACAGCATGTGCATGAATTAAATGGTAATTTATTCAGAATCAAAGTAGTTTGATCAAGCGTTTATATGGCTAATATCTTTTAAGTGTGTGGTTAAACAAAGATATTCAAGGTGTTTTTTCACATAATTCAGAATTAAGGATATATAATAAAAATATAATTAATATAATATATATATATATATATATTTATTTATTTATTTATTTGTATTCCACGGAGTGACACGTGTAAAAAGTTGTTTCATTTAGGTTAAAATTTTCACACTGACTAAAATGCCCTGTAAACGATGCAAATCCTTCCCTTCGTTTTTTTTTTTTTTTTTTTAAATGACAGTTTAAAAGAATTTCTGAAGCAAACAACCACATGTTCAATGGTAACTAATTGTGCTTGTTTTTGAAAAGTATTGCTGCTAAAATAAAAAAGTTTTTAAAACCGAGTTAAAAACTTAGTTTTTAAAATTAAAAAGTACTACTGATTTCCTTTATCTCTTATTATCATTGCGGAAATATTTGTTTTAAAAATGTTTAGTGCTTTTAAGCGGTGTCAGCTTCAGTTTGATTTAATTAAAGTACTTGGAGTGAGCTCTAAATAATAAATGAATATTTTTCATGTTGCTTTAAATTGGATTGGTCATTTGGAATAGTGCATGCTCTTTGTGAGTTTTTATAACTTTTTGTGAGTTTTATATACATCACACCTTGCAGTATTTATTTTGTTTTCTGGATTTTGGTTTCACAGGTTACTTGCAGTTCTTCAAAACAATAAAACTCAACATAAGCGTAATCATATTTAAGTGCTATATTGCACTGATACAGTTTGTGCAAGTTTCACTTGTTTTTTGCAAAGTATATTTAGATCTGTAGGGATGACTACAGTATACAGTACAGGTCTTTAATCAGTGGATTTTTTTAACCGTAATGTCCACATCTTAGCTTATGTTATTATACTTTTTTTTTTTGTCTTTTTTTCCGTCTTAAATTAAGTTATTCTAAACTAAGACAAGCAAATATATCTCAAAGGTTATTAAATTTACTAACTAGTTTTTCATATGAATCATCGATATAAAAGGTCAACATTAAATCAACACTGAAATTAACTATTTCTACTATTTTGTATGTGAATAGATTTCATTTCTTACTTTCAGAGGATTCCGAAGTTAATTTGTATGGTAAATGTACAATTTAAATGTGTATTCCATTCTGGTCACTTTGCAGGACTGAGATTCTTTCAAAAAAGCTCTGTTGGTTTCTATTATAAAATAATATTACTAGTATTACAAAATAATAACACTTGGTGAAACTAATGCTAGGACCAAGCCTTTTTGGAGAGTCAAAGGGTGCAAAGCTTGGTTCACATAAATCCTACTTTAAGCTCCGCCCAGGTTTGGCAGTTGCCATGGTAATATAGCAAGCATGACTAAGCACCAGTAAACTTTTTTTACTGATTTTACCAGAACCGTGGCTAGTGCATTTTTCGCCATTGCCATTTTTTTCCATTTAAAAAGTACATGCAATGCAGTAAAAAAAAAGAAAGTTGATACAAAATTGATTGTAGTCCAGATGATTTAAGTACATGCCATGATTAAACATCTAGGCCTGATCATTAATTGTACAAGTAGGCATCCAGCATTATCTTATGGGAAATGTATATTTAGCCGTATTTATTGCAGTACAGTGTACAAAGGATTTATATATATATATATATATATACATACACACACGTTTACTTCTATTTCCTGCTGGAAATATTTAGATTTGTATATTGTCAAGATGTCTTAATCAAAATAAATAAATAAAAAATAAACCTGCATTTCCCCCCCCATTTTTGACTACCATTCGATGTTTAAATGATTAAATCGATTGTAATGTTTGTTTTGTTTTTGTTTTCTAGCCTGTGTGGCGATTGCAGAGGAGCTGAACTATTCAATCAGTCAAACTGATCCAAAAAAGACGATTCATGTTGGCGCATTCAGACTTAAACCCGATGGAAGTCTTGTGGACAAAAAGGTATGATTCACTGTTAATTGCTCCAGAATCAATTGATCACATTTATCATTATCAGTGCATTTACAGTTTCGTCTAAAGTCATTTCTTCTTCGTCCAGGGTGATTCTGACAGGCAACTTGGGGTTTCTCTTGCTCAAGATAGTGATAAACTGAAAAAGTTTCTCCAGTTTCTCAGTCTTTACCCACCAGCATTTAGCTTTTAGTTATTAACACAGGCTAATCAATGTTTGAAAGTATTCTGCAATATACTGATAAGATCTGAATTGTAAGTTTCACTTTTTTATTAAGTTGTAATTATAAATCGTTTTTTTTGTAATCAGTTGCCTTACATAGCTCTTTAATATTTCCTTGTGTTTATAAGCTTGCTCTGTTTACTTGAGTAAAGGGAGCCATTTTTACGGTTTTCTTCTCAGTTTAGTGGTGTCAGTGTGTAAAGGTCAGACCCAATGAACTCTAAGCCCTGACCCCTGGTATCCAGGGACTGTCATTAGGTGCCTGACTCCACTATTGATTAGGGGTTAATCCCCTTTTGATCGTAACTGCTGCCTAATAACAAGTGTTTGTTCAGTTCTGATTTCCCCCTCCCCTATTAGGCCATTTCAACTGTGGGTGAAATGTTTGTCAGCCTGTTTGGTGGGAAATGTAACGCGAGTAATGCTCTGCCCTAATTGATGATGGGACTTGAATGGGAAGCTTAAATTTTACTTTTGATTTGTGTACACTGTTTGGGTTAAAAAAAAAAAACTACGAGTATTGTTAGCGATGAGAAAGAAACCTGTTAAATCTGTTAAGTCTTGCTTCGTTGCAGATGAAACAGTTGATTAACTAAGTACTTAATGTTTTTGTTTCATGCATCTGTCTTTTTTCTTAATTTGTCATTTATCAGCTCATTGAGGTGAAGTCAGGTATTTGGGTTTTAATTGCAAATTATGCTTTAAATTGCGGCTCAGGGAGCTGTAACATAATTTTGGTCAAAATCAAGTTTTTATTTATCATTACAAATCGAAAAAAGCTATGAGTGAGATACAGTTTTTCAAAACTGTGTAGAGGCTTGTAACAAGTCTAAAGAAAGCTGCAGCTCTCAGATGCAACTGTAAAGAGTGAAACAGTTTTGCACTCTACATGCCTGTACGGAGTTATACGTTTAGCATATTTACTTATCGCACATAACCACCATCGCAGTGGTGCCAGAAAATGACTGCTTTGGTCTTTGGTTCCTGAGTATCCCATTTCTCTTCAATAATAAGGAAGAAAAGCAGAAGCAGTGTAGCAGAACTCGCTCACTGTTCCCTGAGAGTGACTTCACTTAAAAATAAATGCTAATTAAAGCTCGCCAAATCCCTCCCTGTTTCTCTTTTCATACTTGGCTTGGTTCACTTGCCCGGAAGCTGTAGGTGAACCCCTGCGATGCACCCCATGTTTTTAGCAGATTAACCAAAGATAACCTTTAACAGCTTTTGCTGAAAGGTCAATTTATGTATAAATAAACATTCAACAACTCTTGATCAGAAACCTATATCTAATCTATATGTTTTTTTTGTGTGCATGTTTAGACTTTTTTAAATTTTTTTTAGGGAATTAAGGCAGCAAAATGAAATACCCTGTGTCCCAACACTACAATGATGCCTGCCTCTCCAATGGGAATTCAGTGAAGGATGGCATCCCTAAGAAGCCTTTTCTCTGCCTGGGCCGCCTTGCCCCCCTTCTCTTTATTCTTACAGAAATTCTTTATTGACAGCTTCTATTCAAACCCTTCAGACTGTTACGGGGAGGAATTTAATTCCCCGCCATTTTCAGGATTGCATGATAAGGACTCGGCAGAGGTTGTGGCACACCGGCCGTCTTCTGCTAGATCCAAAGGCAAGATTTTTATTGCTTTTGGACTTTTGTGCACGACAGAATCTCTCTAATTGTTCTCAATTGGTCAGCCCGAAGTCTCCTAAAGATTAATGAGTTGAATTTAGAAGTGTAATTGGTGAAGCTCTCAAATATGATATTTCAGTTTTAATGCCAAAGATGTCATAATACCCACATTGTATCCATATTGATACGGTTTAAACATCCTGCACCTATAGGCAAGTGATCAGCTCCTTCGTTCGCTGATTTTCCTGCTCATAGTTGTTCATATATTGTCTTATCTTGCAGTCCATCCAACTGCATTCAGCTTTTTAATTAAAAAGATGGGGGATGTGAAGATAGGTTGCTGTCCTTCCATGGGACCTTTTATCTTATTTGTGACCAGATGGCAGCGAGCCACGGAAGCCTCTCTATGTCACCGAGCCTCACAAGAGTGGAGGGGGTAGAGACGCCCTCATAATGTAATCAGTGAGACCGGAAGGTTCCATACTGTGTCTGAAAGGGGACAATAGGGTCAGGGATATATCTACATCGCAAGAAAATCCAGCTCATCTGCAACCTGTCCTCTTTCCAATAACCCCCTCGCCCCCAACCCCGCCACCCTTTGACTGGCCTGACAAGGAAGACTTCCTGCTTTGATCATTGGAGGGTGGAAGAGATGAGCTGCCCAAGAGAACCAAAGGATGGGACTCCACTGTTTACCCTGCACTTGGCTGCTGTTGACAACTCCCCTCCCCACTGCTTACCCCCCGCTCTCCAGCCTTTTCACTCTCTCCGCCCCCCGTCACCCTTTCCCCTTTCTCCTTCCGGGGGAGGCCAAAGGGGCGGGAGCAGGGTGCACCTTGACCTGTCTAGACACCACAGTGTGGTTTTGTTCTGTTGCCAAGGCAAGGGGATCTACTTTTGCAACTTTGGAGATGCAGGTTAAAAGTCAGCGTCGTGGCACAGGGGATGTGTTTAGATGGGAACGGAAGGAAAAGGTCATCTAAGTGACCTCAGTGCCCTACTTTTTTGTTGTTTTTCCCCATAGAAGGATTTTGGTAACTTAGTCAACTAGTATTTCTTTTTCTGGTAGATTCCTCTGGCTAGGTCTGAGACTTACTTAACTGAACTGCTGGAAGAAGTTTGCAATAGCATGAGCGATTATGCTCTCTATGAGGACCCGGACACCAAAGAAAAGAGCTACAAGAGATTTGCACCAAGAGTAAATGATGGCGGGAATTTTCCAGATTTCAAAAATTTTAAGTTTGATGGACCAGAGAGTTCCAGTGCCTTGAAGTTTGCAGTGAGTATAAATTTTATATATTTATGTATATTTGTATTTTTGGTATAACAATAAAAAGTGAGTTTCCCGCTTTTTTTTATTTCCTTAACTATTTTGATATTGTTTTTTAATCGTGACAGTTGTGTAGTATACACTACAAATAATTTTTTTTTTTTTACTACAATATTTTTTTTCATTTAAGTTTTATTTCTGAAGGCCTTTGAAACATTTACATAAACTCTGAGATATTTCATGAATCATCAATACTGATGTCTTTTTCCTAAACAATGTGACTTGGCCCTTCTGTAATTTTTTGTTTTCATTTGTTTTATTATTATTATTATTATTATTATTGTTGTTGTTGTTGGTATTTATTCATTTAATTTTGTTATTATTGCTGTGTTCATTTTTTTTATTAAATGCAAATGATCAATGTCTAGGGCATATACTGTATGCTTTTGGAGTGGTTTTTTTCTCTCTCATTTTATGTTTTCTATACAAGATGACTGTATTTTTAGACCACAGTAAAATGACTAAATGCCATTTGCCTGTAAGTTGCCTCGTGAACCATCCAAGATGGCAGACTTGCCAACAGTGTAGCACTAAAGATGGCTACCCATTACTGTATTTTCACTGATGTGATTATTTTCTGCTTCTTGCTTATTTACTGTCAACATGCTCATAGAATGCTAACTATATTTTTCAAATGTCTATTGCAGTGTGAAAGCATTGTGGAAGAGTTGGAAGATGATATCATCTCTCTCTTCGCCAGTGAGGCTGGCCATGTGGCTAAGACGTTGTGCAGTGAAATATCAGGTATTTATGTATGACGCGTCATAACTTCTTTCATTCAGTGTTAGGCATGTTTACACTGAAAACCTGACCCATAGTGTTGTCTTGATTTGCACTGTGCATAAAGAGTGTTCCAGTTTTTTTTAATGCACTTTTCTACTTTACTGCTTTTCTACATACAAATATCAATGCAGTGTTTAAATGATTGTGATTTTTTTTTTACAATGTGCTTGACATAAAAATATATATATATATATATATATATATATAAACAGTTACTCAACAATTGTTCTGTTGTTTTTATTTTTTATTTTCTGCTTTTTAAAATCAAACTTCTAACCTTATGAGATGTATGATCTAAATGTAGCTTTTTCTTTTCACTTTATGCCTCAGACAACATTCACTAATTTGCAGTTTAGTCTCATGAAACTAAAATCCGCAAGCACTTGGAGTCTTTAAACAGAATAGTGTAAAAGACATTTTGCTGGAATTATAGTAAATTTAGTCGTTGATTACAATATGTAATTATCTGAAATATTATTATTGCTAGTTGGGAAAGTGCACAGAAATTAATGTTAAATTAATATGCCCTACACAGAAACAGCATTTCCTTAGCTCGTCTGATGTTTATATACATATTTAATTTCTTCTTTTAATGTACTTTGTAAATTTTAGTTCAGTGCACATTAAATACAGATGCTGTTATAAAGATTTTTTTTAATCTTGTGCCTGCCATATTTAAATCTAAGTGAGACATTTTTATCTGGTTATGCAAGTAGCTGTATAAGACTAATAAGTCACTCTGAAATAGGATTTCAGTCTATCAAACAAGTGTCTATGATGACAAAATTCAAAAGCAAAACTGTCAGTCAAATTTTTTCTAAACGCTGTGTGTGAAAAGATTTACGCTTGCGTAATTCTATGCCTTATTGTTTTCTTTACATATCCAGGTCACTGTAAGAGCTCTGTTTTCCAGCACAGCGAACTTTAGTTTCACATGAGCGTCTGCTGAAGAACACTTCAAAACTTGGACCAAAAACTGAAGACATCAAATATTTTCCTATAGTATGTTATTGTTTTAAATTTTGTAAGTAACTTAAAATTATGATGATAAAAATTATTTGACATTAGTAAAGTGTATTACAGCTGCCTCCACTGCAGATTAGTGGGTACACTCATCCTGTATTATATATATATATATATATATATATATATATATATATATATAAAAACTACTGAACTACACTGATGTTAAATTGATTTTATTCCGATGACTTGTAATTGACATGTTGAATTCCTTAGTTCTTTTTAACCTCAATTTAGTTTCAGTAAACTTGACATGGCATTAACGGTATTACCATTGTGATTTATGAAGCGTTTACCTGTGATAAAAGAAAATAAAATGTTTCAAATATAGTGGTTAAATGAGTATTTTGTTTTCATACTTGGCACATTTCATAAGTCTGAATAATTTGTGAGGAACTGTTAACAGGCCCGTAAGATGCAATGGCAAAAAGAGTTTGTCTCAAATCGATTCACAGCACAGTCTGCTTTTTTTCGTTCTGATGTCCCATATCTGTCCAAGTCGGGCTTTTGAACATGGCCGCTGGGTAAGCATGATGGCATGCCTTTCGCACCCTTCCCTCACAGCTCCCTCCATGCAGAACTACGCATGCGCCGCTGTGGCAGCAGCACAGGGGCAGGTCCTGCTTTGGGAGAGTAAAGGAGCAAGAGACGCCATGATTGCTCAGCTCTGTGAGTTGGTCGGGATATGGGTGTCAGCTATATCACTGAGGGGGAAAATGACAATACTCGCTGCTTTCCTTGATATTCTTGCATTGTTTAACAAGTCTGCTCTCTGTGCACAGTGGGGAAAATGTTAGATATCACAAGGATATATTCAGGAATCTACATGATGCCTGTTTCTTTTGGGAAATGTAATGCCTGGGTGTTTCAGATGATCGGTTGATGTTAATGAGTAAAGTAATATTCACTTTTCTGCAATTTATGAAGTCATTTTTTTTAGGTTTTTGCCTAAATTTAATGCTTAATCCAAAGAAAAGTAATTTGAAAACTTTATTTATCTTTAGAACTTTTATCAAATAATATAATTTATAGAACAAACACACGACAGTTATGCAATGGTTGAAGGCTGTTTACCTTAACATGAACTTTGCTGTTCTTGCAAGTTTTTCAGTTCTCAGATCACTTTTTTTTTCTTTTTTTATTATACTAAACTGAAATTTGGTATGCATGTAAAATGCTGGTATGCTGTTTAAAAAGTTGGTTGTGTTGTAAGCTACAAAGTAGCTTATTTCTATCGTGTTTGCCCAGCTCTGTGTATGTGCTTTGAGTTTAAGTATGACAGATCAAGTGTTACCAAGGTGCATTGGGCTGTGACTCAAAACAAAGGGAAGTGGACAAATAAGCATAAATTTCCCATGCATACAAAATGCTTTCATGCTAGCTGCCCTGAAGTGGAGACATCCTCAATGAATGTTTGTTTTTTGTTTTTTCTTGATCACGTCAACTGTATGATTAACCATTTTGTACAATTACCCAAGTCAGAATGGACCTAAAGTTTTACACATTGAAAAAATGTAAGTGAAATTTGATCTCTCCCTTAAATTCGCTATAAAGTTCAACCGCTGAGCTGTGGCGTTAACTTGTATTCTAACAAGATTAAAATATATTTGTCCTGGAGATTAGCATACTTAAATCCTTTTTTGCTTTTTCTGAACTGGCAGTGTGCTTTGATCTGTGTTGCGTGGCAAGAGCCTGGCTTTGGCTTGGCCATCCGAGTGCCAAGTGTGAAATTGGCCTGATGTCATCCCCATTCTTCACTCTCTACATCTTTCACTGCCTTAATTATATTTCCGCCACAAAGCCCCAGCTCTTCATTGCATATTCAAGTTTGACTAAGCATTCAAAAACTATAGATAAATGACTCCGATGGAATTGGGGACAAGATAGGCCTTTCTCTGATACGCAGACAAGGGAGATCAACACAGTTCTGATGTATTTTCTTTTCCAGAGTGACTGGCCTCAGGAACCCCAGCCATTCATACTTTGGAAAGAACTGTTTAGGGAGAGGTGTGTGTGTGTGTGTGTACCTGTTTTTCTATTCTGGTGGGGACTTAATCCTGAATACACAGACTCTGGGGACTCGTGTCACGGTGGGGACCTAAATTGAGGTCCCCACGGGTAAACAAACTAATAAATCACACGGAATCAAGTTTTTTGAAAATCTAAAAATGCAGAAAGTTTTCTGTAAGGTTTAGGTGAAGGGTTGGTGTAGGGCGATAGAATATACGGTCTGTACAGTAGAAAAACCATTACGCCTATGGAGATTCCCCACAAGGATAGCAAACCAGACGTGTGTGTGTGTGTGTCAGTTCATCAGTGATAAAAAAAAGGAAGAATTCACATCCAAATCAGGTCCTTTGAGGTGAACTGGGACGGACATCAAACTTTTTAAGCCGGCCTTTTGGAGCTTCATATTTTGTCTGTCCAGACAACCATCCAGAATTTTTCGGTATGACTTCTTGGACAAAATAGTTTAAGCAAGAGTGAGAGTTTTGGGGAATTTCTGCATTCCAGATGCAGAGCTGGATGTGAGTTCTAGGAATCTCCTCGGACCATCTCATCTCAACTTCGATTACAGGAATGTTCTGTTCGTTTCTGAAGTGAAACCAATTAATGAGATGCCTTTAAGATCCGTGCTGAATTCGGAGGTGATGAAATGTGGGCGAAGTGAAACGAGCCACCTGCAGCTGTGACAGGAGGCTTTGACCTTCAACGGGGTCTCCCGGCCACAGACTTCAATTCAGGAGCCTCGCTGCGCGTCTGAGCGGCAACTGCCTTTTTCTTCCCAGTGAAGCTCATCAAGTCCGAGACCGTTGGGCGTTACTTCCACATACAAGCTTGGCAAGAATAGAAATGCAGATGAGTTTCTCTGGCATTGAGGAACAGGTCAATGCTGGGAATGGTTCTCAGAGATAGCTCGCCATTTGTGTTGGACCTTTTCAGTTCTACGACTTTACTATAGAAATGTTTTCTTGGCGTCAGGTAACATATGTATGTGTAAAGTTTCTGGTAAGGGTTACGAGTGCAACCATGTTAACTAAACCCCGTCTAGAGCAATATTTACAAAGTTTATTAACTCCGTATTGATGGCATCTCATTTAGTTCATTTTTGAGTATTCGCGCAAAATTACTTTTAAGACGCTTTAGGAAACGTTATCATTTAAGAGGTGATAAATCCTGGTTATAACTTGTGTGTAAATTAGACGTAGTTTAAACAAAAAGTGTCACCGTTTTTAAAGTAGCCTATGTGTTAAATACTTTATAAACTTCTAGTCTACTTTTTTTTTAAATATAGTTTAGTTTTTATTTGTTGTATTTTTAACACTCGGAATTTTACGAGTGAAATGACTTCTATTAGCAGCATTTGGACTCCCCCAAGTGTTGACGGTTGGACTAAATTTGGCTTTATACAGTATAGTTTAGTTTATTCATTTTTGTTCCAACCAAAGCCCATTAGACGCCAAATAAACCCTCGAACGGAACCAGATGGGTACCATGACCCAGAATAAAAGAAAAATGACTTCTGATCATTATAGATTGAGTTTCACCAAAGACAACAGTTTTTTTTTAAACTGTTTGTAGCTCGGATTGTGCAGTAGGCTACATGTCAGTGTGGCCTGTTTTGAAGTAGGCCTACACAAACTTTGTTACCGTAAAACGAATTTTTCATTTTATGTTTGGCTGTACAAGATTTGGTGAACTTTGCTGCTTCCCAGTATAGGATATTTTACCCTAACATTTTAGATAAAGAACCTCGTGCTCTGAATGCCCCGCCTACTTTTAGAGGCTGAATTTGATTAATTGAAAAGCACAAATCACCATTTAAAGTTATTTTTGCCTTTTGTTCATTAATGCAATGTGCTGCTTAACATTGCCTTCTTTTCAGACATTTCTGATCATTTGAAAACATTATTTATAAGCTCTGCAATGCGGTACAATAGGCTACATCTTATTGCATACCAGTTTTCTTTTAAAACTGTTACACGAATAATCAAATTATCTACCTCTGTTTAATGTCACACTAAATCCTATTGAAACTGGTATGAAATAAAATAAATAAAATGGTGTATTTATCTTTCAATGATACCACCGTTTAAATTTCTTACAGTCGCGTCTTGCTAAAGTTCAGTTCTTTACATTATTTCCGTCTTTATTGCCTTACAACACTTGTGGGCAGATCTTATATATATTTTTGTCTATATCTGGGTTTTTTTAAAGTTAAATTTATAAAACGTTTTGCTAATTTTTTGGAGGCAGTGGTTGTGATGCTAATTTGTTTTCACAATATGTACATTTTACGTTTTTGTTTTTTTTTAATGGGGAACAATATATCATGCTGACACAATTTTAAATGATAGGCTAATTTTCAAATAACATTTTAACCTCCTGAGAACCAGAAATAAAAAGCTTTGTGAATTTAGTATTTTTTCATGTCATTACATTGTTTAGAGCATAAGAAAAAAATGGTAAAATAACATTTTTGAAAAATTATATTTTATTCCTAAGTTATGATATGTCCTCTGTAGAGGACACCAGGACTCAGTTTTTCTAAAAATAAAATGACAAGAGTAGACATGAAAAGGTAAAATCAATGGGAATTTATTTTAAATCACCAATCAATTTTTAGGTTTCAGGATTTTTTTATACCTAACTTTGTTTAAGGATGGTTATCAACTATGTTATAAAATATATAAAAAAATTATTTTATATACTATTTTGCTTTATGCAATATGTGTGTAAAAATTCCATAAACTGGTTTTCTAATTTGCATATTAAAGTGCTGTTAGGACAGCATGTTGAAAAAAGAAGTGTAATAATGGGAGTAGTAATTGGCCAGATTTTCATAATAATATCTAATATTTCATAAGAATATTGATATATAATTTTGATATAGTTTTCCTATTCCAATCTTTTGTCTCCCAAAATGTATAATAAACATGATTTTAGTCCTGGTGTCCTCTACAGTGGACATGTATGAAATTATGTCCTGTTTCATAACAGAAGGTCATATTTTGATTTGAAACCCCATAACATTTTCCTGAGATGTTGATTTATGACAAACAATTTGAAAATGAATCTGATTTAAATTATAATTACAAAATATTATCATACTTCCATAACGATGTACAATTTTATCACTAAATTAATGTCAGCCATTTTTAAAAAACCAAGGAGAGGGAGTGGTCATGGTGAAACATCCAATCATTTGGTATCTCTGGAAAGCCCTGAATGTGCTCTGTACAGGACATCCAGACGTACAACTGTGACATGTGAGGTCTCAGAGAAATTCACTAAAATATAATGTCCACTACAGAGGCAAAAACTCCATAGCTGGGTCTCAGGAGGTTTTAAGAGAGTTGCTTTTTCAGCTTAGTAACAATCATAATTTCACACTTTCACAGTACACTCTAAAAATTCTGGGTTGTTTCAACCCAACTTTGGGGCAAATATGGACTAACCCAACTTTTGGGTTAAAAATTTAATGTAAAAATTTAACCCAACGGTTGGGGTAGTCCATATTTGACCCCAAGTTGGGTTGAAACAACCCAGCATTTTTTTAGAGTGTAGCCTATTAAAAAAAGGATCAAACGAAAATGCTTCTGTAAAAAAAAAACTTGCCGGATATCCATTTGGAAAAAGAAGATGAGAGAACTTTTATTGTACATTCCCAGCTAAATTCAACAGACAACAACTCAAGTCAAGTATTTGCATTAGAAGTGTAGTTTTGAGGTTTACTGACTCGTATGCATTCAGATGTCTGATCTATTTCCTGAAAATGTGAGGACATAGGATGTGTAGCATCCTTGACGGATAGTATTTTAGACCATAGATCTTTTAAATACAATATACTGAATTATTGTAAGCATGATATGATGATATGCAATGTTGTCTTTTTTAAATACCATGTCTCTGTAACACAAGTCAATAAAGTAAAACAATTCATAATAAAATGATGCATGGAAACAAATAAACATCTAAATCAGATAAAACATTTTACCATTTATTTTAAATCACAGTCGCCTGAATGCAGCAGGGAAAATCTTTGGACTTCAGCATTGTTTAAACACGTTCACTTGTGGCTCAACGTCAAGTGTCAATCAAATCGCTCCCCTTTTTTAAATAAAGAAGCGTCCTTTTTCTCGCGCATCTGAAGTTTCAGTAAGTGTACAGCAGTGATACTAATTGAAAAAGTTTTATATCACTGTACACATAAAGTATATATATATATTTACATATAATATTGCAGAATCAAATCTCATTCATGAAGTTTTAATCCGTTTAATGCTGGTATTTTGTACACTGGCCCTTGTTTAGAATTATTGCATTTCAGATGTCCTGTCCTTCACGTTAATCACTGTCTGATTTGTCGTCCTTTGTTGCTGAGGCGTGATTGTATAGTCCCTGTGCCATCAGGTGCAATGCAAGCGAGTTTTTGCTCCCCGACGCTTTTTTAATCTTCGCTCTTTTGTTTTGAAACCAGATTTTGATTTGAGACTCGTTGAGGCCGAGTTCCTGGGCCAGTGCTTGTCTCCTCTGCTCCGTCAGGTAACGGTTATTCTGGAATTCGTTCTTGAGTCTCTGGAGTTGTTCTGCTGTGAAGGCTGTTCTCGGACGCTTGTCTTCCTTGGTTGGATTTTGCATCTTTGGTTTGCGGGATCTTGGTCCTGCATTTCAGAAATTAACGAAAGTGATTACATTTTGCTCGTGCGTGCCGTAAATGCATATATTAATGTTGCATCAGTATTTTCAATAGATATTAGTTGTTTAATCATATCAAGATTAAAAATAGGCTAATACAACAATACTATTTTCAATAATAGTGTTATTTAGAGTTACTCTTATTGGATGAAGGATGTTTCAGGGAGTCTGCTCTAGTTTTGACTATGGAAGCATGGTGTGGTGGGGGTGGGGGTGGGGTGACTGCCAGAAAGGGAGGGGTGAAAGAGGCTTTCCCCTCTTTCTGTTACCATAGGAACTACATTTATAAGAGAACGTTTTTGTAAACTTGCTCTAAGAGTAGCCTAGCACCTGTCGTTCAATGCTAGTAGCGTACCCACTGCAAATTCTATTTTTAGTTAGGCTAATTCTTAGGTAGCCTCCTCCAGTGCACCCAAAGGTTCGGCGTGGCCTGAATACTGACAATAGATTGATCGGCAGCCTATGAGACGAGCCCTTGCTCGCATCCTATTTTTACACCTTTTATTTCGCGTAAGCTGAGTAAGATTTCTATTGTAGACTGCTGTTATTATATAATATTAATATTTTCACGTCGTATAATCGAAAAATCAATTCAAGTAACCATTAAACGTACTCCCATCATGACAAGGGGTTCATAGGCTACACCTTTTAAGTTAGTCTGGCCTTTGCAAATATTCACCCCTAGCTAACAATGTAGTAGGCTATGTTTTATTGTGTAAAAGCTTTGGTAAAATTATGTTCACAGACTGCATATTAGAAATGGGCTAAGATGCATTAGCCAGATTATTGTGGGGCATAATCAAAAGTTTCGACGTGACAAAAAAAAAAAAAAACTTGCGTTGCCGCTTTTTCGGAAGGCCGTTTTGTGCGCAATTTGAACTTCTTTTTAAATTAGTTAATTACAAATGCTGATTAGGCCTAATATTGTCTAAAATTGTTCGGATTTTTTTTTCTATGCCGGTACGTGCAGGAATAGCATATTTATTTTTAATGCTCTCTTTTGAAGAGATCTGATTTAGCATTTAGCTTCTGTGGTGCGTCCAACTCCATTGTCAAAAATATGCTAATTAAATATCAACAAAGACAGCGAAGTAACAATGGCGCAAAAACTACCCGTTCCCTTTTTTGAAAATAATGCAAATAAGGCAAAAATGTAGCATAATTACCATTTCTAAAATTAAAAAATCAGTTCTACTTTTTCTTTAACAACTTAAGAAATGCCAAATCAAACGTAAACGAAGGGCCACATTGCACCTTATACGAAACTAGATTTTTTAGGGTTTTCTACTGAATAAATACTAATAATACGCATGTAAAATAATATATAGGCTAATAGTAATCATAATTCTGATTATTATTATTATTGTGGTGAAAATAATAATAAAAACAACAATAAAATGTATTATTAATAATAATAATTCTACACATGTAGCCTATCACAGCAGCAGTGTGTATATATATATATATATATATTGTGGTGAAAATAATAATAAAAACAACAATAAAATGTATTATTAATAATAATAATTCTACACATGTAGCCTATCACAGCAGCAGTGTGTGTATATATATATATATATATATATTTAAAATGTTTGTAAATATTAGATTTAATAATAATAATAATTAGAAAACATCTTTGTAGTTATTCCTTTTCATTTAAAAGAACAGACTCCATAAAAGAAAACTCCCTGACTCTTGGCGGGCCGTTTCACATTCATGAAGAACATTTGTGCTTCGTTTTCGTACCCCTTTTCATCGACAAAATTTCTGTAGCCTAATAGTTTAGTGTTTTATTTGCTCACTTTCAAGTCAAAACGCACGCGCGCTTTTATAGGCTAACAGATGATATTTGAGTACATAAATAGAACTGTGAACAGAATAAATTCCTACCTGATGAAGGTCTGTCTGAATATCTTGTGCAATATACCCAAGCCGGCCAAAGTATTGGTTGTTTCGTCTGCGCAGCGTTACTTTGCGAGCAATCCGAATCTGAGCTTAAACATTGATCTCCAGTCTCTGCGCGGGGTTTCAGAGGTGCGTCCGCGGTAATATCAGTTTTTTTAGACGCGCTCACTGGATGAGGGCTCGAGGTTCCTTCCCCTGACACTGGAGCTCCTACCTGCCCTGATCCGGGAGCCGATGGACAGCGGTTCTCTCTTTCTACTATATTAATTTCGTCGCGCCCGGTTCCTTCTTTCCTGCGACCAAAGTCTGGTCTCAAAATGTTGTCGATGTAAAAGTTGGTGATTCTGTGAGGGAGTAGGTTTCCAGGAGCCTGCAACAGGGGTAGAATAGCTCTATTGGACTCATCGCCCGAATCCTGGCGCTCCACATCTCTGTTGCTGTGATCATTTTCTTCCATAGTGAAACTCTCCAAATGTTCTTTTTAACCCTTATCTCTCTCACCCAAACGCGTATGTTTGTGTTCCAGTTTTTGTGGTATATTTTCCTTATTTCTTAGTGCAAAGAGAAACGACCAGGCAAAAAGGACAAATCCTTTTTTCTGATTCTTTTGTCGGTTAAATTCGACGAAACCGCCTTGTGTGCGTAGAAAGAAAAAACATAGTTTTAGAAATTAATTCCACAGTGTGCCCTTTGCAATTGTCTTTATATCTACTTTGTAAAATATACAGGCAAATTGAATCTATGCAGTATCAAAGCAGTAGACCTGCTCTAGTAAATAAGGAAACGCAAACTGGCTCTAGAATACTTTCACTACGGATTTTTGTTCTTATTTTTAATACGAGTCCCCCGGGTGACGTCGCAGTCCGGTCTCCTAGACACGTGCCTTTGACCAATAAATGGAGCGAAATTTTATCACATGACCCAGTGACTCTCGAGTAAATGACAGCACCCAACCTCGCCGTATTCTCAATACTTAAAGCGGTAGTACTCTATAGCTCTGAAGTGTTCAGCATCCCAATATTTTGCGTTTTCACATCACCAACTACTGAAAAGATAAACAAATCATTTGACAAACACATTTGGTTATTTGTCTGTTTGTGGAACCGCTGTCTTTTTGTGTAGCCTCTTAAAAATATGTCGTTTATAAATCGCACTGGGGGAGGGGTGTGTTGAATTTTACACGTGATTCGGTGGTAGATCACACACTGTCCGATTTCGTAATTTCGTAGACTTCTTATTCCACAGTATGGATTGCTATGCTATTTTTACTGTAAAGTCAACAATCTGTATAAGTCTACACCAGCGTATTTAGGCCTGCGTACGATAATGAACTAACTAATTACGCAGGGCAATTCTCTGTGGAGCATCACTCAAAACGGCTATTTTATTTTCCCACCCGTTTCCATGTCCAGTTTTTAATGTTTTACATTATGCATTACGTTCCTCGTTATCAGTAAAGCCTAAAACAAACCGCCATCATTTGATATGTTAGTATAGGCTATGCGGTGACCCTGTTGGTCTGCCTTAAGTGTGTTGTGATGTTCTGTCCTTGAACAGGGTATTCGTATCCAAAAATATTTCTTTAAATCAATCGCTTTATTCTATCGTTATAACGGTTCGCAACGAGTTATCGTGAATCACCGAAAAGTAACTCACTCCAGTAGTTTTAAATAGGAGTAGATGGCGTGGGTGAGGCGCTTTAAAAGAAACCAGCGAAGCAAACCAACAGTGATCTTTGGAGCGTACATGGCGTCCTGGAGCGTCAAAATGAAACAATCGACCACTAGAAGTGAGCTTATTGGAAAGTTTCAGTACAGGTTTTTGGCCTTGATGCAAATCAGATGGGCAAACTAAAAGGGGACGCATGGCCCATAGTGTGGTATTTAGCTCCAGAGCTAACGTAACTCACTCTCGTGCTCACTTTTTCGTCCCTGGAAAATCGTGGACTAATCAAGTCAACATTTGGTTTTCATTTTCGGCTTAACTGAGGAATCCTCGGCTTTATTTAATGACCGTAAATTTAGATAAATCTATGTCTGCATATCCAAAGTCGTTGTTTAATCTAGATAGACCAAACAGGGCACAACCAGTCTTGTGATAACAGACACATTTATGAAAACATGGCTATATGCAGCACGCAGTTTTTGAATGGAATATTGACAGAATACTTCTTGTTTAGAATCGTTGAACTTGCAAATGACTTGGTGGGATGAATGTTGGGTGTTACAAGGTGAGCATAATGTGTGGTCATCATTGGCTACAAAAGAGCAGAGGTTAGGATAAAACTGACTATTTATTTATTTATGTTTTTTTATTGTTGATGTATAGCCTAACACTCAAACCGCAAGTCTTTAATTTCTGAGTAGGCTACTTTGTGTACCTGTGATGATGCTTAGTCTGTGGCTATACTAGGCTCTTCAGTTATCGTATTGTCGAGTATTTAATAAATCATAATTAACTTTTTAAACATATTTTAACTACTGCAGAGACCTATTGGGGCGCTAGCAAAACATGCCTTTGCTGTGAATGCAGTGCTCTTTCATATAATATTGGGTTTGTTTAAATGACCAATCTCGCCATAGATTCAGCACATAAGACTTCAATCAGCTATAATCTACCTAAAAAGGCATGTTTGAAAACATATATATTTTTGTTGTTATGATAATAACCACCTTATGTGCAGGCGTCTTATAAGTGACATTACCTAAATTAGCTTATTGCAATCAAACGCCGCCTTTCGCTGTCTCTAATTCCTGAATACAAGCTATAGTGAATACAAGCTATAGTGAATACAAGCTATAGTGAATACAAGCTATAGTGAATACAAGCTATAGTGAATACAAGCTAAAGTGGCATTTTAATTAAAATGCCACTTTTAATTCTTGTTTCAAAATAATTTCAAATTTTGACATAAAGGTAGTAAAAACCTATTAAAGAAAAGCAATAAGAATGAACAGGACACACACACACACACACACACACACACACACACACACATTGTTAGCCTATACGACAGGGATCCTCAAATCTGGCCCACGAGATCCACTTTCCTGCAGAGTTTAGCTCTAACCCTAATCAAACACACCTGAGCATGCTAATCAATGTCTTCAGGATCATTAGAAAAATCACAGGTAGCTGAGTTTGATCAGGGTTGGAGCTACACTCTGCAGCGCATTGGACCTCCAGGGCAAGATTTGAGGAACCCTGCTATACGATGTATGTCAATTAAAATTATTTTTTGCACTTTGATCAGTTTACCTTTTTGTAAATGTGAGTTTAATATGATTTTTATAACGTGACATTAAAGTTATGTTTGTTTTGTAAAGCTGATAATTATGAACATTTAAATCTTGCTTGGAAAGTAAAACTCTTAATTATAAAGTAATCCTAAAGTAAAATGGTAAGCCTAAAATGTTTCTAAAAGACAGTGTGCTCACATGTGACATTTCTCACTTTCCCAAACCAGCCATAACAAAGAAATGCAAAACTTTTATAGAAGCTGTAATATTGCGGCTCAGGGTAATTTGATGCACCATTTTTATCCTAGAGAAATCCTTGAGGATTAACACTCTTGAATCACGTTGACTTCCTTGCAGCCCGTTAAAATGAACCATTTAACAAAACAGAAAACAAAAGCTTGTGCGTAGACTATTAATTGCAACGACTCCAGTTCAGGATAAGTTTAGGATAAGTCCTTTTTATGAACATAGGTACTTTGAATCCTTATCAGTATCCTATACACGTGTCTTCATTATAATCTAAATTAATAATGGCTCAAATCCTATATTAAATGTCGAACAAATAGGCCTAGGCATATGTTCTAGTTCTAGTAGAGTATTTCTTCTTGTAGAATAGCACGTAGTTCAGCACTGAACAGCGTTATTTATTCAGAATGCAGTCTGTTTGTGGGTTTCCGATACTTTTCTAATTTCTGTTTTCTCCATTACAAAGGGTCGCGCGCAGAAGCAAAGAGGGATTTGTGAATACGTGCAAGAGCTTTTGCCAGCTCACAGATCATAGAGCTCAGATCAGCACAGATGTGACCCAGTCAATGGATGTGATATCGGGCCTAGAACAATGCTGGGGTCACACGGGATCCCCCAGCTTCCTGTTGCCCTTTTGAAAACAAACTGAAGAAATAGAGGGAAAACCTTGAGGGACTCGGAGGATGAGGATAAAGGTTACTGACCATTTCCTGTTTCAGACTGTGGAGCAGTGATGCATATATTCACATCACCATTATGTTGTAATGTTCCGGTATTTCTGTCTTTTTAAGTGCTTTAGTATAAGTTGAGTTTTTAAATCTGTTATATCTACCAGATAAGATGGCATTATTTGCATATATTATATATATGCAAATCATAAAATCTTAAGTGGTAACAAAGTAGCTTGTCGGTAAAGACGGTCTAATATTCCCATTTCAAAGCAAGTGGCTCATCAAATTTACCTAGTTGCAAACTGTGATTGGTTATTTTCATGTGAATAATTTAGTGTTTTGAGATATTACCGAATCATTGACCTTAGAGGGTGACTGATTAATTAATAGCACATCGAATAAGGAAGGACCTGCTATTCAGTGATATTAAAAGTAGCTTCATTAGTTGGCCTGTACCAGTTATAGCCTAAATCAATCAAACATACAAATGAATAAACTAATATGTTTCACATGTTCCGGGGTCTTGGGATAAGTTTGCATTTATGACAATTCAACTTCTTCGTGAACTAATAACTTACAAAGCTTTGTATAGGCAACTCACACTAAAGAACAAATCCTAAGTGAAAGCCACAGTCGATTCTCAGGTAGCTGGCCAACTTCAGATGTTTGAAGCCTCGCGGGATGGAGCGAGAGGGGACAGCTGTTAGGCTCCCTCAGATATAGGCTAAGTGACTTGTCTGTGCAACAGGTGTATATCGGATGCTGTTCATTCAGTTCTCCAAATCTCACTTTACATCACTGTAATGTCGAAAACTGTCTCTTTGCGCACAGGTTTCAATATGCTGATTTAGACTTTTTTTTCTTTCTTTCTTTTTTTTCTAGCAAAGAAAGGTTATCCTATGTCAAATTTCTGTCTAATAATCATAGTTTAAAATCAGATGAATGGAAAAACACTGCGTGTCTTGCTAATTGTTCATCACACATGAGGTCAGTTTAAATGGTTGCCATTCGTTTTTTAGAGAAATGTGCTGGCATTATCTTATATCGTATCTTATGACATTAGATGCACGTCAAGAGAACGAGGCAGAAAATAAATTCACTTTGTGTAACTTATTTAGCATATGTTCGTTTTTTCTCTCATCAGCAGCATCCATAAATTGTAATAATCTGATTGCCAAAAGTGGGGCTACAATATAATACGTTTACACTATATAACGTGCATTTTCTACACTATACTAGGCCTATATATATATATATATATATATATATATATATATATATATGTATGTGTGTGTGTGCATGTTTATGTGGTTTATGAGGACACACATTTGTATAATAACATGGGTATGACATAGGTATTACAACGAGAAGGTGATTTATGAAGACATTTTCAGTGTCCCCGTAATTCAAAAGGCTTATAA